TTTTTTTGTATTATTGTATCAGCCAGTAAATGATTTCAACAAATTTTCAAAGGCCTTTACATAACATGCATACACTGGCGAAACTCTGAGCAATTAAACTAGTTGAATAATCTTCTTTTTACAAAGTGAAAAAGGTAATTTGTGCTCAAAAGCCATAACGTGACCTGAAATAGTCCTTTAAGGTGATTTTCTGCTGATTGACCGCAACTCCTTCGAGATACGCGAACGCCATAACCGCGCCGGATTCGCTGGTTTCGGAGGTGACTTCAGCTTTCAGACTAGGAGAAATCTCTTGATCGCCAGTGAATGGGGCCATCCACGACTTTTCCGCAACGGATTCACTCGCAGCGAAATCGAGAATGGTTGGTGATATAGGTTGAATGTTCCATGGCTTAGAGGATGTTTTTCAGTCTCGGAATCGTTCGGGTGTCAGCTGCATGTTTGGCAAATTTCACCGGGAATTTTGAAAGAAAGCATTGATCTCGGAGCCTATGATGGTTGTCTGACTACCACAGTTCGGTAAGTACTGCCTGTAAGTTACACCAGAAATAATGGAAATTTTGCAGTTTCCTACATAATCCTGAATGCAATCATGCATTTGCTTGCTCTGCAGTAGGTTCGTCCGTGTTTCATCTCCATATGAACTCTGTCAATGACAAATGGAGCGCAGATAAAGTCTTTCATGTGGAGCCAATACAGGTTCGGATTACCTTCTTAATGGTAATTTTTTTGTGAAGTGGCCATATAGGTCGAGAACTGGCTCTCACCTGAGATGCCTGCACTGCTCACGGATCTCGTCATATCCATGAATGACAAATTTGCATATGTTGCTGGCTGGCTACATGGATGTATCTGGCAGCTGGACATAGCAGATCCATTCCGAGTTTCACCTTTGAATAAGGTGAGAAACATTTTTGACGTATTTCAAGATCGTCTAAGCTATTCAGGTTTTTTGAATAGTTTCTATCCTCAAGTGCTATTCAGATTTGAAAGCGTTGTTTTATTGTTTTACTGCTCACCAAACCTAGAAACAATATAATCAACAATCATTAGATTGAACACAGTTAAAACACCTTAATTCTTTTTTTGAAATGCTGATCTCAAATGGAAGAAACTTTTTTCGCAGGAAACTTTGCAAACCATCTGAAAGCACTTTTTTTCTACTTGGTTATGTGTGCTTCTGTTTTCGCTTAACCATATTCGTTTCGAATTACAGTGCATTGAGAAACGAAGAATGCAATTCCAAATATTTCCTTGAGACCCAATTCCAATTTTTTGGATTTTCTTAGAGACTTTAAAAAATTGTTTGAAAACGTGCACAATGATAGCAAGGATTTTGTGCTACTGCAGGGTGAAACAAGACTTTAGAAAATTTTTGACTAACGCTATCTCAATGTAAACTTGCGCGATCGTTTAGTGTTCTTTTGCCCCAAAGAAATTTCAACCGCAAGCTATCTA